AATCGCCACACTGCTTTCCCAAATGGTTGAACTAATTTACATTCCCACCAACAGTGTACATTAGCCTTCCCTTTTATCCACAACCTCACCAGCATCTGTTATTTTTTTGAATAATGTATTGTATATTTCAACATAGGTAGAAGAGAGAACTTACAATGTTCTCGCCACAAAGAAACGTTTGAGAAGGATTTGCTAATTACCCTAATTTGATCATTACACAGTGTATATATGTATCAAAACATCACATTGTACCCCACAAATATGTACCATTCTTGTGTCAATTTTATTTTTTTTTAAGACTTAGTAAAAGGCTGGGCGCAGTGGCTCACACGTGTAATCCCAACACTTTAAGAGGCTGAGGTGGGGGGATCACGAGGTCAAGAGACTATGCTGGCCAACATGGTGAAACCCAGTCTCTACTAAAAATACAAAAATTAGCTGGGCATGGTGGCATGCGCCTGTAGTCCCAGATACTTGGGAGGCTGAGGCAGGAGAATCACTTGAACCCGAGAGCTGGAGGTTGCAGTGAGCTGAGATCGCGCCACTGCACTCCAGCCTGGCAACAGAGAGAGACTCTGTCTCAAAACAACAACAAAAACAAACAAACAAACAAACAAAAAACCTTAGTAAAAAAGAAACACTTTCCAAGCTGTAATTATTTAATGGGTATATACATTTATTTAATCAATTACAGGTCCATGATAAACTGGTGGCTAATAAAATCATATCCAGTGAAATCAGCCCACAGACGATACAGAGGTATTCTGAGTGATTTTCCCCAGACCTCTATAAAGTCCAGAAACTGTCACTCCATCAGTGGGTGTGTCTCATCTTCCCATTCAGGAGCTTCTTGGGGAAAGTTCTGAGGCCAGCCAATCCTGAACGGCTTAGCATGTGCCTACAAGTAGACAAAGGTTGCTTATGCCACCTTCACTATCCCTCATGTTCTTGACTGGCTATGTGGTCTGTATTTCACTCCAGAGTTGCTTTACCGTGACCTTTAGCTCCAATTATTAGGTGAGTGACCCCTTAAAAAAAAAATGGTGCCAGATCTGCCTTAAGTCAAACCTGCTTTTTCCACAACTACCCAGATGGCAATTAATAATTATTTTAGATCAATGGTTCGCAGTGGAGCTACACAATGGCTATACAATGGAATCGCCTGGGAGCTTTAAAAATTATCAGTGCCTAAGTCCCACCTCCAGAGGTTATGAATGAATTAATTGTGGGTGGAGCTGGAGCATCAGGATTTTAAAACTCTCCAAGTCATTTTAATGAGCACCTAAAGTCAAGGACCACTTCTGAATTTAACCCATCTTCTCACTGCACCTCTCTGTCATTATTAGAGCATCTGATATTGCTCTCATTTTACAGAAA